TTTTTTTTTTTATCTTGATTTTATTTTTACTCAAGCGAAACCCGTCAAAAATTACGACAAAATTTTTAAATTTTTTTTACTACCTCAATTTTTGTTAGGAATATATTGCTTCAACTAACAATGTCTCTTTTTTGGGTGATTTGTTCCTCTCTTTGGGTTCTTTCGTAGACTTATCGATAAGAAAATTTTTTAACGATATTTTATTTTCGGATGAAGAAATTTTTTTTTTCACTCTTTTAGGGAGTACCCCATTTTGCCCGCAAAAAAAAAAAAAATTTTTTTCGACGGCAACTTGAAATTTGATTATTTTCCTTTAATTACGACTGAAAACGAGAAAAATCAGCGTATTCAAGTCCTTAAAATCATAACGATTGCTTAAGTACCCTATTTTGCCCCCCCCCCTCTCCCCTATGTTCATACTGGCATTGAATTTTTTTTATATTTTTTATGAAATTGGACAGAAATTTTTTTTTTTAAATATATTTATTTCGTATAATGATATTCTCAGATTTTTTTAGTTTATCTAAAGAACTTCAAAATTTAAGAAAAAAAAATACAAAACAAAAATTAAGATTGACAATTATATTTTTTTAATTACTATACTTAAGAAATATTTATGACAATAATAATAAAACAAGGAATGATACAAAAAAACGTTTAACATTATAATTTATATCATAATTTTTTTTCTTAACATTATAACAATGACTACAAACTTAACTTATATATTCTATAAAATCAATAACAACAGAAATCTTGAAAGACTAGATCAGGCCGGAAAGTCGTCCGAGATTAGTGCGTTACCAATGCCATTTCTTCTCGAATCTTTTTTCTAAGTATATGGCGGTAAATCATGGACAACTCTTCTTCTCGCTGTTGTTTCACCCAAAGTTTTATTTCTCTAAAATAAATCATAATTAACAAAAAATTATTTTTGAATCTAAATATTGAAGTATTGCACAATTAGTAGTTAATTTAAATGAAATGTTATTTTTATAAAAAAAAAAATAAATAATTTACCTGATAAAAGGTGCGACCAAAAAAAAATTTTTCGGCTCTATACCCATCTTAACTTGGGGCGTCATATCCATGGTAGTATAGGGCAAATTACTCAAGGAGAACCACTTGATGTTCCCGATCTCGTTCGTGGTCAACGTCTGGAACTTGGTACTCTCCTTGACCCCAGGGATTATGTAGAGTCTGACAAGCTGGTTCTTGATTTCGTGCTCGATGAAATGATTTTTGTTAATAAAGAGAGAGATGTCAAATCCTGTCTCTTCAAGCACTTCACGCGAAGCACAAAGCGCAGGATGTTCATCTTCATTAACTTTGCCTTTCGGAAACCCCCAGAGGTTTTTTCGCCAGAAGCTCTCAACTAGCAATACTTTACTCATGTCTTCATTCAACATGATGGCGCCGACGGTTGGTATCCTGTGCTTGTACTCTCGCCATTGCCTTAGTAGCTTCAGTATAATGTCTACGCGCGGCAAATGCGCTCGTAGAAACGGAATATGACGGCAGAGATGCACTGACAATTCATCCATGTTACATTTGTTTAACTTCCTTCTCCTGTCCTTGTAGTAAACGTCCAAGTAAAACCAGTACGCTAATTCAATTTGGAAGAAGAGGTGCATCCAGTTCTTGCGATTTTCTACTGGGATATTTGTTATGAAACGGCTGAAAATGATACAAAATATATTTTTTGTTATTATTGAAGAACTTATTTTTTGTATTATTGTAAAAGATTTTTTAATATTAAAAAATAAAATGTTTTTTTTTAATTTTAAATAAAGTCATATTAAAAAACAATTTAATTACAACATTAAAATTTTGTCATTTGATGATTCTTTGGTTTTATTCAAGAAATAAATTATGACGAACAAATTATTTCAAAAACTTTAACTTATAATTTTGTATCATTTCTGCATGATAATTTTATTTTTCTAAATTTTTTTTCACAGTAAATTTGTTGAAAAATATTTTTCAAATCATTAAATGTTTTTTAATTTTAATATTATAATTATTTACACTTAAAATCATAAAAATTTTCAAAATTTATCACAAAATAAAGAATTTTAAGGTAAAATTGTATATGAATAGATAATTGAAAAATTTTTTAACTTTGTTGGTAACAATTTAGTAGTTAACAAAAACTAACCTGCTTAAGTCATCAAGAATATCTAACGGAATAGCGCGTAGAGCCATGACGTGTTAAAAATTTTATATCTTTGGTAAATAAATAGAATTTTAAAAGCAATTTAAATGATTGTAAGCTGTTTCCAAAAAATTGTTTTACTTTTTTAAACAGTAGTCACGAGTTCCCGAGTTTATAATACATATAACACTTAAATACACTACGAAACTACTACTCTGCAAACCACCGCTAAATGATGCGAAAAACCGAAAAATATTTTATTCACAGGTTCGTTTCTGCAATTCTCGTTCCTGATTGGTATCCCTCTTTATGTCACAGAACCCTTGGTAATCCTGAGTCATTAGCAGCCTACCTGGGTCTGGTCCCAACTATCTATTGTCCCAGGTACTCGGGTTATTACTCTATTATTTGTCGATCGTTTTGGAAAATAAATTTCTGAAGAGATCATTATTCATGAAAATGAGTATTTAATGATTATGAAGAATTGTGAAGTAATTATAGAATAGTTTTAAACCTTAAAATTAATAGTAAATAATTTCCTACATTTAACAATTTATAGTGATTAATATAAAAAAGTTTATAAAGTTTTAGAAGTTCTTACTCTTACCTATACGACTTTAAATAGTAGTATATATATCAAATTCTACTAGGTTTCCCCGCTATAATTATTAAATCCTTCTATAAATTTTTTTTTATTTGCATCTTTTCTTAGATAAATTATTTATTATTTTTATAAAAAAATACTTAATTAAGTTATAAAATACTTAATAAAGTTATTAATTAATTGTAGGATACTACTAAACAACTATATTTAAAATTAATTTTTCTTACACTTGTTACTTGTTACCGGCATATACTCAGAGAAAAGATTAAAGAAGAAGTGGCACTAATAACGTACCAATCCAGGACGTATTTCTGGTCTTATTTAGCCTGCCAAGATCATTTCTACTTTTATTTATTTTATAAAATATAAGTTAAATCTGCAGTCATTATTGTGCTTCAAAGAAATCATTGTATTATAAATAAATAATAAATTTTTTTTTATATAATTATTTGTTTTATAATCATTATCATAAATATTTCCTGAATTTGTTAAAAAAAATGGTAACGGAAAAGTTTTTTTTTTTTTCGTTCAAACGTTTTATAAAATTATAAAGTTTTATAACGTTATCAAAAACTCAGCAAAAGTCATAAAATGAAATATTAAAATTAATTAACTTTTGAAAAGTAATAAAATAAAATAAAATTATTTAGACTTCAATCAAATACGAGAAATCATAATTTAAATAAATAGAGTATTGTATTAATAAACAATGAGAGATATCTATTCACACGACGTGGATTTATATTAAGACTTTTTAAGGTGGAAATAGACATGTCCTAAATAATAAGTGGTAACAAATTGAAAATTTTTTTTTAATTATCAGTCCAACGTATGATACTATTGATTTTTTAAAAATTACAATTAATAATTAAAAAATCTATTATCTAATACAAAATTACTAAAGATTGAAAGAATAAAACAAATTTAAATATTTTATAAAATTTTTTTATTTCAATTTTTTGATATATATTTGTAAAAAAATATTAGTTTTTATTATTTTACTTAATTATTATAATTAACTATAATATTTACAATGCGTTTCATTGATTCTTTACGGTCGGAAATTTTACAGAAAATGGAAACATCAAATTTTGGAAATCTGTGAGTAAGGAAATCAATAAATGAAAAATATGGAAAAATAAGATTTCAGAAATAATAAAAAAATGATGTGTCTTATTGAGGATACTTTGCAATATCGATTAGTTAAAAAATAGCAATGAAAAAATGTAGTAATCAAAATAATTAGAATTATTTTAAAAAAGATAAGCGTAAAATTATAAAATCAAAAAAAAAAAAATTTCCGTGAAATTAGACGCATCAGAATATAAACATCTAAAACGACTGATATTTAAAAAAAAAAGAAAAGAATAAATTCAGACAAGTCGAAAAAAAGACAATTATAAATTTAAAAACATAAAAAAA